AACGATAGAATCCACTCAGTCATCAACTAATCGACAATAATGCCAACTCATTTAGTGATTTTTTTTCTGAGAATTTTAGATGTGTTTTTGTTAACCAGTGCTTTATACACGGGTGGATTCATGAAACTAGAAAGTAACCCATCAGGCAATTACAATTCACATCAACTAGTTCGTGCATGCAACTATCTTTCGAACCATTCATGATTCACCATTATTGAAATAGAAAAAAATAAACCTCTTATTTATTGCAAGCCTTATTATCACAAGTCTCAACTTGTAATTATCTGCATTTCTAGTTACAACAACGCAAAGCAAACTTCATAGGTATTGGTAATATTGTTTGAGAAAGTTTATTTCATGTTAGCCTTTTAATTTATGATATAGCATATCGATACAGATTTCAGATACACAGTTCAAGCAGCTGCTTCGGCAGCAGAAGACACCTTTTGAAGCACATAAACAGGATCTCCTACTTCAATGATTTTACCATCCCCTTTACCAGGAAATTCCATCCAGTTCCAGGTCATATTCTGACCAAAGTAGACCTGTAGAAGCAGTTCACATGTCATTTCACATCATAAAAACTATAGTGGGATTCATTGAAATCTTGATAACGTCTCACCCTTTTTTTATTTTTATCATTTGGTCTTATGATTTCCCCAGACCTAGTTTTCATAAGAGTTTCATTTGGTTCAGGTTCAACTTTTGCAGTCTCTTGATTGATGGTAGGTATCTGATCACACAAATAAAATCAATCAAGCCAGTTGGATATGCAAGAAGCTAAGAACAGGAAAAAGTAGATTGACAATTGGCATGTGTATATGGAATCTAGCTTTTCTAAAGTGAACAATTATGTTAAGTTAAAAAATATATGGGTGTATCTGCCATTGGTTTGAAGTTAATGAAGTTTACAAAGTACTTTAATTCAAATCAAAGGTCAATTTACCCTTACTTTGTTTGCTTTATACATTTGCACATATATTATCCATGTGATAGATATCTTATTTAAGGTATACA